GAAAAAAAGTGCGTCGTCCTGCAGAGCAGAGACGGGGAGAGTGAAAGAGTGATGATGATGATGATGATGATGATGATAATAACGATGATGAGGTGGAGAGGATTGTAGAACATTTCTCTCGCAGCCAGGTTTCTTTCAAGACTATTTGTTCTGGAAGCTTGGAAAATCAAATGTGAGGCACTTATTGGCTGTTAAAGCCATTGTCTTCCCTTTTTACTCTCTTGATTTGTTCTCTTTGTCAAATTTCAGGGACAACAGCATTCCATTTAGAGGCTTTTCAAATTGCTTTTAGTTTAATTATGCATAGGTAAATACAGCTTAGAGTTTAATGGATATTACAACAATGATGAATGTTGACACTTCCTTTTTCTCCAACTTTTACTTCACATTGATTTCCTTATTTGGAAATACAAACGATTGGCTCTCAATACAGTAACTTAGGTTTCCATTTATGCTTTTGGATTTTCTTCCATTAGTTCATGTTAATCTACAACCTCTGGATCATTTTAAGTGGCGCAAATCCCGGAGGGTGAGCACGGTTCTCACCTGAACATTTTGCTAGTCTGTCACAAGGACATTATACAAAATAAACAACCATTCACACTCATATTCACACCTATTGTCAATCTAGAGTAAATAATCAGGAATATATTATGCAGTGTTGTTCAACCTTAGGGTTGTGACCTCATGTGGCATTGCATAGATTTTGATAAAAAAAGATTACTGATAGAAAATATTTTTAAATTTATTATTATTCTTATTATTATAGAGACAAATTAACACATTTTTGACCTCTCTTTTTTACAGGAAGATGCCTTTGTGTTTGCTAACCAGGTTGGTTACCCCTGTCTGCTACGACCCTCCTACGTCCTCAGGTGAGTCACAGCCAACCGACAGCAGACTTCTGCGCTGAAAAACTGTTTTAATCGAGAAACACATTTTTTTAGGTCAAACTCTGTGTTGAATTTTCCACTTCTTTTTGACAAATTTGTATATTTTTGGCAAAATAATATGGTTTTCACTCCTTTAATATATCTTGTATTCCCAGCTACAGTATGTTCACAAACAGGAGAATACAACAACTAAGTGAACTATTATCATATATTTTTTTGTTCATCTCTAAGTGCCTTTGCGTGCAGTGACTTTTTTGTCCAGCAGGTGTCACAGTTAGACCCTTCATTATATCGCTCTGTGATGAAAACTGCACATTATAATGAAGCTTTGGCTTTTTGCCTTTAATTTTACATGCTCTTTCACATGCTAATTATGATGGTTTAAAAAGGAAATCCATCTGTACCCAGGGAAACCTTCAGTCACAATCAAAGTATGTAAGTAACTCACAGTAAATGAGCAAAGAGATATCAAGCAGCATTCACTGAAGTGTCCCTAATCATTTCATTAGAAATATTGTGATCATTTTTACTCTTGTTGTTTTTTGAAGTAAACCTTCTTCAGACGCACTTGATAGTTTAGTCCTTGACAATCTGGCTTCATAAATTGATAAAAGAATTAGGTATTTACCCAGGAATAAAAGAGGTCTGATAATTAAGTTCTCAAGTTTTTGCAACCTGCATTAAAAAATGTTTCCTAACAATGAAAATGTAATTCCTGTTGAAAACAACGACAATGGGACAGAGTCAAATGTAAATGAAAGTGAGTTCTGAGAAGTTTTGTTTAAGAAAGTGCAGTTGTGTGGGTGAGGGCTTTCACTTGGACTTGAAAATAAACACAAGCAAGGAATTTGAATTACTTTTATTTTAGTTGCTAGCAGAAATAATAAAAATAACAACTATATTTATATTTTTTATGAGCAGTGCAACATTTATCCCACTTATTGACATACCTAAACAGAAAGAGAAAAAGACTTCTGTAGACTGTTCATTAGTGAGGGAAATAGTGGGTGCCGCCATAAGCACCACTACCAAAACGAAGCTAACTTCAGTAGAGATAGTCGATGGTAACATTTAGATTATTACTGTGCATCTGCCACAATGATGGCGCCAAACGTTAAGCATCACAGGGGCACACTGACACCTGGGGAGGAGCATGGGTTTCATCCAACAGAGTGGGAAGAAAGACTAACTTAAAAACTCGTTTTTTTACATCCTAAATAACAAAAAAAAATTAATTTTCAAAACAAATCAACAGTTATTTAGATTTTAGGCGTGTTGGTTTTCTGCCCTTCAGCTGTGGTCCGCTCATGATCAGAGCGCTGATCCCATTCCATGACCTTTCAGTTCTGTTTTTTTTAACCACTTCTTTTCAACAACAACAAAAAAAACTTTCCATGACCTTTCAGTTCTGTTTTTTTAACCACTTCTTTTCAACAAAAAAAAAACCCTCAGCCTTAATACATTGTATTTTTAATGGCAAAGCACTGAACTTGTTTTCAGGAGCCCGGAGTGGTTTTCGACCTAAATAGCTCCTCTGTCTTCTCCTCCCTCCCGCTCTCCTTCTTTCTCGTGCCTTATTTTGACTGTTTCCAGACCGTGTTCCCGATAGTAATTGTGATGCAACAAAGAGATAATGAGTTTTGAACAATCATTAGAAACTTGTAACCTCCACTCTCTCTCTCTCTCTCTCTCTCTCTCCTTCTCTCACGGCCTTATGTTTCGTCCTCACTCCTGCTCTCATTTCACCAGTGGCTCTGCCATGAACGTTGTGTACGGAGAAGAAGAGATGAAACGTTTCTTGGAGGAGGCCACTCAGGTGTCACAGGTGAGATCAGTGTTAACATCTCAGAAAATCTTCAACTCATATTAATATATAATTATTAAGCCTGTGATGAATTTGACAAACATTCTTACTCTTTAAGAGTGCATTCTCCTAACAGCTACCGCCACCTGGTTTGTCATTGTCTTCTGCTGTGTATTTTACTCCTAATACCTTAACATCAACATTGACATGTCAGAGGGACAGACTTTTTGTGGACAGACATCCTGGAGGCCGTAAAATAAATGAAATTAAATTAAAATCCCATTTTTGTTTCACATTATTATCTTATCTTTATTTTGGAATCCAGTCCTGGCCCAGACGGATGGAAGAACCTTGAAAACTAGAAACGGTGGTCAAGCTTTTTATCTCTAAATACAAGAGAGATCAAAACCAAAAATATCACAAGTCACCTTCTAATAACAGACAGCACTAAAATAACTGCAGTCAACAAGCCAGGGTACTTTCATTATTAATCCCAGAATGACCTTGTGTGTTTTTCCTCCAGGAACATCCAGTGGTTATCACCAAGTTCATCCGTGGTGCCAGGGAGGTGGAGGTGGACGCTGTGGCCAAAGCTGGGAAGGTGAAAAAAAAAACTTCTCCCTTTTGTTAGATTCACCCAGTTCCACCTGAGTTTTACTGTACGTGAAGACCTGTTTGACGCTTTTATAATTATACCCATAATTACCCTTTTTCTGTGTGAGAGTGTACGTTCTTACATGATGTTGCATTGACATCATTTGTTCGGTCTTTACTAATGTTCTTTCCATTTACTGCATTGTCTGCCTTGTCTGGAACACTAGACAACAGTAGATAAAATGACCTGCTTGACCTGACCTGAAACCGTCCGCACTCAAGTCGCACTTCCTTAACCACCAAGCCATTAAAGTGTGATCTGAAAAGTTCTGTGACGTAACATGAATTTTTTTCCTTACCACGCAGTTTTGACGTTGAAGGTTGATGTGACTTTCACAGTGAAGTTTCCAAGTTTCAGCTGCTTAAAAGTTAACGTGAATAACCTGTAGTGTAAAGTGTGTAATTGTTAGCACGTAACTTGCCGTCAATGACAGGAGCCGTGGCGGCACTTGAATGCCCTTTCTGCTTTGCTCTCGTCTCGGTTACGGGAGTCGTTTGAAGGGTGCGAGTGTGAACGTGGGCAATTCAGTCGTGTGGTGTATTGTCTCTCCCTACGTTCCCTGAACGTTCTAACTTCACTATCACATTAACACGCTGTCCATTCATTGAATACCAAAGAGGCTTTATTACTCCTCTGTGTGTATATGTGTGTGTGTGTGTGTCTGTGTGTGTGAGGAAGAGAGATAATATGTATTAATTACAGGCTCTATCTGAAGAGTGCTAATGAACGCCGTGGTGAGCAGCAGTTTAAATGAACTAGTGACACTGCACTAAGAGACATCGTCCGACTGAGTTCCTCAGCCACACAAATCCTCCGTCCTGTGGGAGAAATGTGGGAAGCTGATCTTCTGTCTCTGCAAATCCACTTACATTCTTACTTACTAGGGATGGCTCAGTCCAGTACTCGGGATCAGTATCAGTCTGGTACTGGTCAAAATTTCAGGATTGAAAATCAGAAAAAGACACAACTATAACCCGTTTGATCTGGTACCTAAGCCCAAATGTTTGACTTAAATTTTTTGTCACATGCCGTTAACAGGGACATGGGTATCAGCAGATACTCCATGGTGCAGTATCAGTATTGGTATCTAACATGAAAAAGCGATATGGAGCCAATCCTATTACAATGCAGATACTTTTATTTTTTAAAACATTGTCATCATTGAATATTACATTTATTTCAAGTGTTTTTCCATTGGCCTTTTTAGAGTAACAATTTGTGAGAAGAAAACTGTGGTTCAGTGTGATACAATCAACTCCTCTTTGTCCAGGTGCTCGTCCACGCTATAACAGAGCATGTTGAAGACGCCGGGGTTCACTCCGGTGATGCCACACTAATGCTGCCAACTCAGACTATCAGCCAGGGTGCATTGGAAAAGGTCAGTCGTAATCACCTCAGCGGTAATTACATTAGTCATTTTACTTAGGAAACTGGTTCAAAGAATCACAATTTAGCACTGGTGATTCACAGAGAGTTCTCATGTCTTTGATTGCTTTCTTCCATTGCTCACAGGTGAAGATTTCCACTCGCAAAATTGCACAAGCGTTTGAAATTTCTGGGCCTTTTAACACTCAGTTTCTGGTAAAAGGCAATGACGTTATGGTAGGTAACATTTCCTGTGGTTTGACTTCGTGCTGACATTAGAGTGGTTTTCTGAGTGATTTTAAAAAAACAAAAAACTTTTATTTTCCATCCACATTCAATCCTATGATGTAAATACAGTAGGTCCTAGTGATACACACTGTCGAGAAGTTTTTCTACTTTTTTTTGTACATTTGTTTCAAGGATGTTGTTGTTGCATCATCTTATATTTATCAAATTTGCAATGTTCCTGCCACAGTTTCATGCATTAATTAATACAGATTGCTTTTCATGTTGTTGTGTTCTTTAATTGTAAGTTAAGTAAAAAAATGTTTATGTGTATCTGTGTTGTATTTCATATCTGCTGCTGGGAGTGGATGATACTGTTTTGTTTTTGTGTCCTAAATGCTGTCAGGTGATCGAGTGTAACCTGCGGGCATCACGTTCTTTTCCTTTTGTGTCAAAAACAATTGGTGTGGACTTCATCAATGTGGCGACCAAAGTGATGGTGGGAGAGCCTTTGGACGAGGCGAGCCTGCCTTCGCTGGAGCAACCCATCATTCCTGTAGACTACGTGGGCATCAAGGTAAGTGGAAAAAGAAAAAGTCAGCTAAAGATCCTGAAAGACTCCAGAGGTTCCTGTAGGAAATGACACAAATGACCAATGACTGTATTTTCAGGTGTCTTTTCAAGGAAAGACATGAACTTGTAACATGTACGGTTATGAAAATGCTGTAATTCACTTTGACTTCTTTTACAAGAAGAAGAAGAAATACAAACACATTTGTAAACACATTTTAGGCCAGTCAAGACAAACTGGTAAAAGTGCTTGTCTTACAGGAAGAAGATTACTGGTTTGATGGTTCAGTCCATATGGACTTTGTGTGGTTCAATTTTCTACTGGTGCCCCAGTTTTCACCCACAGTCCAGTTACATGTTGATTGGCTAAATTGTTCCCTCTGTGTTCTCACTAACAGCCTATCAGAACACCGTCGGCATCGAGATGACCGACCATTTGCAAGTGCTGACCACACATAAACCAAAAAATACAAAGTAAAGTAAAGGAAAACAGCCTCTCTGTTCATGTTTAGCTGACGGTCCACAAATAGGTGGCCTACAGGCCAGATGTAGACTGTGGGCCATCGTTTAACGACCACTAATTTGCGGTGTATTAGCCTCATACTCTAAAAATAATGAAATACTACACTAGTATTTTAATATTTAAACAGTTTTACATTGTCAGTGTCAATGTTAACAGTGAGTGTGCAGTACTTTTGAGGGCTTCATCTGAGTCCTCTTTTTTGGGACAGTATGAACACCTGATCACTTTCACACCTTCATTAATGAGCGTATGTTCATGTTTTGAAGTAACTCCACTCCCGGGTCACAACCATTTGCATCCAGGATGATGTACAGCTGTGTAACTGATCTGTGCAAAGCAGTGTGACCACTGCAGTCTGTTTGAATCACGGTCTCAATGAAAAGCGTGGCGTTCCCATGAAGCTGACACGTTTGAACAACGTGGCCCGAACCTTATTATTGCACAGATACACAGGGTTACAGTTACAATCTGGAGGAGAAATACTCTGTCTTTCTCTGTGATATGAATTAAATACTGAAAATGAAAAACAAATAACAAGCAGATTTAATTACCCAGAGCCTTGATTGTGAGGTTAGGGCTAAGAGTTACCTGTAGTGTCAAAAGTGACTTATTATTTCTCTTTTTAGAGTCACTAATATTGATATCTAAACTTTTTGTGTGTAGGATTTCTTAAAAGCGACGAGCTCCTGGTTCAGTTTCCTAAGGATCACATAACAAAGACACCAATTACTGCTTCATCCCGGTACCTAGGCACGGTGGTGAAGAGTAATAGGTGCTTTCTCTCACCCGCTGGGAGGCTTACTTCTAAAATTGGGTAAGAGAGTTTATGTGACGCCAGATGTTCCTTAGCTTTTTTTTTCCAAAGTAATTTCTCCCTCTAATTACAACAAAGCTCCTGTAACAATGGCTGTAGTTGGGAGCCAATCACGCAGGTATAATCCCCTACTCTCCTCACCACCTAAAGTTTTCAATTTCTCGGCTGCACAGTGGTGGAGAATATTAATCAGAGCCCTGAATACTCGAGGTACTGGGCATAAAAGACTTTTGGAGTTTACTTGGAGTCGATAAGGCAGACTTTATACACCCATCTCGGCTGATATAAGCTTTGGTGAAAACCTGTGTCAAAATAATACGGAGCATTTGAAATACTGCTGTTTTTTTCCCCCCCGGTCAACATTCTCCAACATAACATCGATTCCCCACTGGTAACACACTCTGAAGTCTGATTATCAAGACTTAGTATAGCCTGAAGGATGCCTGAGCAGTATGGGAGTTCTACATCTCTATCCTCACCGTAGTCATAGTATCATCACAAGTTTGGATTCACAGGCTTCCAGAGAACCAGTCTCCGTTTTTCAGTCTCACCCCCCCGCCCCCATCCTATCTCTGTTGTTCTTACTGTCTCTTTTATCTGACAGTCTCTTGTTTCAGACCATGTTGTTTTCTTTTTGCTAACAAGTCCCTGTTGTGTAATTTCTGTCTCTACATACAAACTCATAGGAACAATAGTGTAGTGGTGTTTATGGCACTGGGAGGAAGAAGAGCAGGAGAAACAACATTTGAGGAGGAGGAAGCTGATTTGGTGACTGTCCCCGGTGCACACTTAACAGCTGAAGGGAGAAAAAAAAAGACATCCTCTGTCTGTCTGATGTCTTGTCCCCTTGACCATGGCATGCAGGGCTTTATGGGAACTTCTAAAGCAGTCACCATTTTTCTGGCCTAATAACCTAGGGGAAATACTAGACACAGACAAAACAAAAAAAAAAGTTAAGGTTGCTAAGTTTAGACTCTGCCATAATGTGACATAAATAAAGAAATATTAGCTCTTTGGTGTGTAATGTCAGGGGGAGGCAGGGGATAGGGTGAGATGGAAGTTGGATTATCAGCTGTGGTCACCCCTGAAGGGAGCAGGTGAAGAAGTGACTTAAAAAACACAGCTATGGTGGATATGATTGAACAGCATTTCACTGATTAAAAAGTGTTTTTGAAAGGATTTTTGGATCATACTCCATGGTTTTAAATACGCCATGAAAGAAGTTCCATTTTGATGCCTATACAGTAACCTTCAACCACCACCAAGCTCCACTTGAACAACTTCTCTCAGTCAATCAGAACATTCAGCCTTTTGTGCCATGATTTGTATCAAAATTATTTTAACTGATTTCGTGAAGACAACCCTTTGATCCAAGCTTATATAATAAAACTTATATAGGATAATTATTTTGATCAGTTACATATTTCTGATATTACGTACTGGTTAACAGGACTTTATCAGAGAATATTAGAAATGTCCTTGTTATTCTGTCTCTCTGTGTCTGAGGCAGGGAGCATGTGCGGTTTTATTAATACATTTGAAAAACTTGATCTACGTTTGAATGACTAAATTGAAAATTAGCTAAATGTTAACACCATCATTCTCCAAATGTGTTGTTACTTGACTCAAAAAAAGTTTTACTTTATATTTTCTACTTACAACTCCGAGATTCTTGCTCTTTTAATATCTAAGGGGATAATTCCAGGATACTACACTTCAAAGTTTTTAACCATGAAAATATCTATGAATATTAAACTCCTGTCTCTGACAGTCAGGTCCACAAAACTCATAATAAAACAGACATTCCTGGATCGTTGGGACTGATATCAGTTTACTCATCTGGTGCAATTTCAGCCCTGGGCATTGTCTGCTGTCTGTATAGACAAACACAGCTGTTTATTTCCAGGCTGCTAGGAATACGAACACATTTACGCTGTTCACACTTCCGTCTGCAAATAGCCCAGGGTGACTAAAATTGTTATGTCTCACTTTACTCATTCCCTTTGTCGTTGGAAGCTCTGCTGGTGTCCTGAGATAACATTGTCCACGGTGGGACGCCTCACGGCGCCTGTGTATGTTAGTAGTGTGTAGTAAGTGTGGCATAGTAGTTGAGGATATTTTGTGTGTGTTTGGGTATTTGTGTGTGTTCAGGTTCTGACATAGCTGTGATTCCGGTGACGCTTTATGGCAAAATTCTAGTGTTGTTGCGAGACATTGTGTTCTTTCGGGGGGCATTTTGCCGGTCCCCAATAAGTGAGATGGTTTTCAGGCTCAAGTTCTGAGTTAGGATTAGGATTATGGCCGGATTAGTGTTAGGGTAAGGATTAGGATAACACTATTATTGGGGGATGATTGGGAATTATTTCGAAACCTACAAATGTGTGTGTGTGTGTGTGTATTGGGGAGGGGCGGGGGCTGTAAGGATGTTGTGAATCCTATTCCGGGGACACACCAGTTTTCAATTGAACAGCACAGCATTTAAATGAAACCACTGTCTCACTTTCTGAGGATTCTGCTGTGTGGAGCCATGGAGTTGTTTGTCATTTTCGGAGCTTTTAAGTCTCCACAGGTGACGATAACACTGTTTTAACACCTCCCTGCTCCTCTCTCTCTTTGCTGTTATGATATACTTCCACTTTCTTTTTTGCTTCATAGTTCCAGTGATTGGTAGGAGGCTGCACTACATTTTCAGTTTGCAGTTTGCCTGGTAGGTGAGAAGCCTTGTTAATGTGAATCCCTGAATTGAGTCTCCTGGGTTTGTATTTCAGAGACTGGGAAAAAATATATGCCTTTGTGTCTTTGTTATACAAACCGTCTTCTATTCTTTGTTTCTTGTACGCACCCCAAAGTTCCTTTACCTTCATTCTCTGTAGAGATATATTCCTCTGGCACTATTTCATTTACTGTCCTGGTTACATTTTGCCATTTCATCTCCGCCTTCTTCCTTGTCTGTCACCAACACTTTGAACAGAGCCACGATAAGAGATGATAGTTCCCTGTGCATTTGCCCCCCCGTGCTCCTCCACTGTATTCCATCAGTAAGCCAACATCACATTCCACTGATTAGATAGAACCCCTGAAGGGGCTCTGTACATTGTCTTTATGTGGAGATGTTCGAAGAGTAATTTCACTATTTCTTCCACTTTCATTTGTTGTTACTTTCTTTTCTTTGACAAATTCACCCCAAAAACTGCACTGATTGCATCCTCTTCACTTCCACTAAGCTTTTCAACAATCTTTAATTTTCCTTCTCTAAATGTCTGTTCTCTTTCCACTCACTCTGTTGCAGCTTGATCAGACCACAACCTCCCCGTGCTTCTCAGCATGGAGACACATGTTGAATTAATGGGACCAAATTCAAATTCTCATTTAAATGGGCTGTCAAAATAAACTGGTTAATTGCAATAATTAGTGTTTGGAATCAATTAGAGTAGAAATTGGACAGTTTTACACAGACTGAGTGTTTTCTTTTAGCAAAGCTCATCAAGCTTAAAATACCATCTAGATGTCCAGCATGTTTTTATGCTGGCTCCAAATTCAGGTCAGACACTTGACTTGCGTCAGACCAGGGCAGCAGGCAAGTAAGTCTGTGACTGACAAGATTAAGAAGGACTGTAGACTGATCAGTGTTGTTGAGGGAAATTACTTTACTGAAGTTTTGAAATAAACTTTCGACTCCTTCCACAAGCCAAAAGCATAGTAATGACTAAAGTCTGCCCTCAAGAATCAAGATTACTCTTGATACTCTTTTTTTAAACTAGTGTATGTCAAAAAACGATGACTGAGAAACTTAGTCATAATGGGTCTAATTATTTATTTTTTCTCTGGACTGAGAAACTTAGTCATAATGGGTCTTATTATTTATTATTTATTTCATATTATATAGAAACTTAAATATTGAGGAAAGACCACCTATAGGTGTCAGTAAATCCCTAAAGCTACTATGATTCACTCTGAGTAAATGTTTTTAAAACAATCTTTTTTTATTTTACACAGTACTTAAAAAATAAACAACAGCAAAGAGCAGTTGGATTTCTTGTAAATCCAGGATAATTTAAATCTGTTAACACATTTAAATAACAGGCTTAATAATAACAAAAACAATATTACTACAGTTTATTAAAATCTAGAATAAAAATACAATATTTTCAGCTTTTTGAACCAGTAAATAGTTGCACATCATGAGATGTTGCTGCTTCTTGTCAAAACAAATTCTTCTCTCATTGGTTCTCTTGTCCTCCATCCAGGCACCTATGTTCTCCTGGCCTCGGCTGAGGGATGCAGACCCAGTGCTTCGCTGTGAGATGGCTTCCACCGGAGAAGTAAATTCACACACGCAAAATATCTGTTTGGTTTTTGAGAAATAATAGTACACCAAATGAGAACATGTTTTTTTAAATAGTAATACCAATGTTTAGGAATCATCAGTTACTCTTGTGAAATGTATGTCTGTGTTGGTTTTCTTACAGGTAGCCTGTTTTGGACCAAACATTTATTCAGCCTTCCTGAAAGCTATGCTCTCCACAGGCTTCAAGCTGCCACAGAAGGGAATTCTGATTGGGATTCAGGTAAGACTAAAGCCATCTGGAAATCCTCATACCTCCTGTTTCTGCTTCCTTCTGCTACTTCCTGATGCACATGACACCAAATGCGATGAGCCCCAACAAATCTTTTTGGTAATCAATTTCTCACCATCCCACCTGAGTGATCCTCTAAACTGGAGTTTGATTCCTTGGACACAACATGGAAACAAAAAATCTGAAAAAAAGTTTCTTAGTCAAAATATCTTTCGAATATTTTAAGAGAAAAGAGGCTTAAAACCACAGAAAAGAACAGTGTGTAAACCGCTGCCCTGGATTATAATTATAATGACTGCACATTACATGTGTTTTTGTAATTAAGACTTGCTGACACCCTGGTCTGCCAAACGGTGAGGTTGACTAATGCAGCCTGGAAAGCGCTGTCACAACACCAGCTGTGTAATTGGTGCTTTTGGGAACAGGTCCACTTGAAGACAAGTGCCTGGTGTCACATGGACACTAGAACATGGACCAACACAAAAGACAGACAGGGCTGATGTCCAGGAAACACAGCATAAACCTGAGTTGTTTATATGAATCCATTTTTTTTATCTTTGATTTTTTGTGAATATAAATGAAGGAGTAAGTTGAAAGGAGAGTCGAAAACGTCTGAAGGATTTGACTGATGTTTTTCTGCTCCCATAATGACATTAGATGCTGTTATATTTAAAGGAAACACACATGAGAACACAACAAGTTTTTGTTACTAATAAGCCAGACAAGTTAATTTTGATGGCCACTTTGATTTAGTCCTAGCCTTTTTGACCAAGTTGTAACTTAGTCTCAATTTTTGTGTTGATCAATTTACATTTTAGTTCACATCATTTTTTATTATATTAATATATTATATTTATAGAAAGAAATAAACAAGTTAAATGATGATGTAATAAATTTACTCCTTACTATTGAAATATATTTTATTGAACGCAGTTTATGACGAACTGTTCTGAACTATCTAAAAAAATATATATATCTTTTGTTGTTGCTATTTCTACCTTTTATACTTTGTATTTCTGGAATATTTCGGCTTCTCGTCTAGCACTCATTCCGACCCCATTTCCTGGCCACAGCACATCAGCTGAAAGAGGAAGGCTTCAACCAACGTATTCAACACCCCCCCCCCCCCCCCCCCACACACACACACACACACACACATAGTGTGTCAGCCTTTTGTAATAATGCTTTATTATTTCTGTTTTCCAGCTCTATGCCACTGAAGCTACTTCTGCCTGGCTCTGTGCCAATGACGTTCCTGCCACTACAGTCGCCTGGCCCACGGAGAAGAAAGAAGATGCCAATTTGCCCAGTATTAAGAGGTTTGGAAAATGTTAGCACAGGAACTGTTTTACTTCAAAACTCTGTGTTCATTAAGAACATGGCAAATACAAAGCATCCAATGTAAAAGTTGCTTATGGTTTTTCTGAGGCAATTCTTAAGTAACGCGTAAACCCTGATTCATTAGATGAAAAAAAAAATTTGAATATCTAATCAGCATAAGATTCTGCCTTGAGATCTGAGCGCAAAATCTCTTCATTACCACCATAATGGGCTGACAGGATCAAAGATGTAGCAGACTCTGAAGTCTACAGTTATTACGTAACTCACACACCAGGGCGCAACAGTGGGAGGATGAGGAAAGTCTCATGTCAGAGTGATGCCTATTCCAATGTAAGGATATCTACATATATATATATATGTAAAAAATAAGTATGGTTCTGATCTCTCTCCCTTTGCTCCCAAAACTTTATCCTACTTTAATTGACAGTTTGGTGATTTTCACTTAAAGTCTTGTTGACAATTTGCTCAGTTAGCGGAGCCGTGTTTTTCAGGGCAGCAGAGAGGGTAATTAAAGCAGGTTGAAACTCTCAGGTAATGACTCTTCAAGCAAGTCATGATG